TACCTCAGAAGAGCAAAAGATACCCATACCGCATCATACCGCTGCCCTTCATTCGTTTCCCCCTTGTTTGGGCCTCCTGGGCGGCCCTCGTCGCCACCGCTGGATTCGCTTCGAAATCCTGGTCAGAACGCACCCCGGGAGAGGTCCGGGGAGTAGCGGTATCGGTACCTTTTGGTCTCCCCACTACCTTCGCCGCCCAACGGTTCAGGTAATTCGATGGGCAGCGGGGTTTCACGCATACGCGCATCTGTATTCAGACTCACCTATGTCTAGACACTCGACCCGAACTCACTCACACTCAGACGCCCTCATGCTTAGACCTCTCAGGCCCAGTCGCACTCGGACTCGCCCCGGCGCGAACCAACTCATGGCACTTTGGCCGCCCAGGGGGTTGTCGACCAGGTGCGTTCCACGGGCCCGTTCGCATTAGTGCGGGGACGTTTTTGGCGACCTCGACGCGCCTGCGTTTTGGCTACGCGGCATCCTGCCGCGAGCATGGCCGGCACCGCCAGAATGTGTGACCACCGAGATGGCCAACCACACCGGAGAGATGATCCACGCAGAGCGCATCCAACCTCCTGAGGACACCCCCCTACTCGTGATCTACGGAGACGGCTCAGGTGGCAAGCGCAGCGCGGACTGGGGGCACCGACGACGTGGATGGGTATGGGCGCGGCTGGCCACGACCGAAGATGGCAATTTCAGATTGGCAGCAGCGCGCTACGGCCCATTCCCACACCGACGACAGACTAGCAACAGAGCAGAACTCTGGGCACTACTGGATTGCCTCCGACATGCCACTGGACCATGACATCAATTCTTGGGCGAACAGCGAGCTGGCATTCAAGGGATGGCGAGATAAACTCTACCTGCACGCTGGCGAATCTGCGAGAAGTCTTCGGGGACGAGCCCAACCGACGAGGCCGCAGAGGAGCTGGGGAGGTTGAAGTACACCACATCAACCGCCACCTCACTTGGGAGGAAGCCCAAGCACGGGGCCTCCCACTGCATGCACGGTACGGCAACGGCCAGGTAGACAAGCTGGCAGAAACAACAGCTTACGACCGCGACATCGACGATGCACATATGACATGCTAGGACTAGGTCAACGCCACAGCAGCACTTGTCAGACGACGCATCACAGCAGCAGCTGTCGACGCCACCGACAGACGCCCATTCGACGAAAAAGAAACACTCGACGCCAGACTTAACATGAAAGGACCGCGGAGAGCTCAGCAACGACGCGGGCGGGACTACTTCGCAGATGGACCGGCACGGCCAGACGGAGGACGACGCCCTCCGACCACGCGCGACCGGTCCAGACCGCGACGAGGCAAATGGTGGCAACGCAAGTGTTGCCAACAAAAGGTGGGAAAATACACCAACTTCACCGTCGTGCAGGACTGCGCCAGCCAAGGATGCCCAAGGCCACCGCCACGACAGGGCACAGAAGTAACGCAGCACGGTGCGCCATCAGATCCTAGCCACCCACTTGCCCACCTCAGGGCAGAATCCATGTGGTTCTGCAGTTTGTGCGGCGCAACGACGACGGAATATATTCCAGGCGATATGAAAAATGAGTACGAACAACGACCACGGTACAATAGCATCAACTCAACTACAAGCTGCAACACTGGCTCAGCGAAGCAGAGAAAGAAGTCGGGGAGCGAGGACAAGACGGCGGATCGAAAGATAGCCAGCAGGCGCGAACCACGCCCCCTCCGAGGAGGGCCGTTGCGAGCACCGACCTGCCCGGCTACACGTCGCCCACGTTTTGCTGAGAAGCTCAGCAGCCAACCGGCCACGGCCAACATCAACGCGACGAGATCAGCAGCGGCTCGGAAAGATGCCAACAGGCACGCGCCGACCCACCTCGCGCAAGGTTGGATGTGAGCGCCGACGGGTTTGGCAGTGCGTCGCCCACGGTTTGCCGAGAAGCTCTGCCAACGGACAACTGCCAACGCGACGAGACCAGCAGCGGCTCGGAAATAAGCCAGCAGGCACGCATCACATCACCTCTAGAGAGGACGGATGTGAGCACCGACCTGCTGCTAGGCGCCACGTCGCCACAGTTTTGCCGTGCATGCATCGACGACGACAGCTACCTCTGGGCGCAAACCGTTGGACTCATCGGGGCTGCGGGGGGGGGGCGGGTGCTCCCTGCGTCAGCTAGCGGGGACAGCTGGGGAAGGCGAGCGTGGAGATGCATTTGCAGGCCCGTGCCCGCCAACCCTGACCGCTCCCACGAACATCAGCAATAAGCAGGAGCAGCACCGTGCATTACAACAACAAGTGGACGGTATTGCCGCCTTCCTTGGAAGGCATGTCGGGGCGGGTGCTCGTGATAGAGGCCATCGCGGGGGCCCGCTGCGGGGTGCTGAGAATCTCGGAGGTGGGGCGAGACGCCCGAGCGCGAGCCCGATTGCGGCGCTCCCTGCGCCTCCGGCAGACGCGCAGGGAGAGGGGGCGGTCCCCAGGGACGCCGCCCCCACAACAACAGCAATAATAATATCAATAAGAATAATAATATTAATAATACTACTCATAATAATAATCATAATAATACTAATAATAATAATAATAATACTAGTACTAGTACGAATAATAATAACACTAATAATACTACTAATAATAACAATAATAATAATACTAATAATACTACTACTAATAATAATACTACTAATAATAATAATATTACTAATAACAGTAATAATAATAAAAAATATTAATAATAATAATAATATTCACCAAAAAGCAGAAGCCTTGCCACCTTCCTTTGAAGGCATGTCGGGGTGGGTGCTCGTGATTCCCATCGCGAGGGTCCGCCTCGGGGAGCTGAGGATCTTGGGGGCGGAACGAGGACACGCCAGAGCGCGAGCCCAACAGCAGCGCTCCCTGCGCCTCCGCCAGATGCGCAGGAAGAGGCGGCGGTTCCCAGGGGCGCGGCCCCCTGAGCGGCGGCGGCCCGCGCCGACCCGCGCGGTGCGGACCGCGGCCAACAGCCACTCAGGCTGCGGAGGAAATCTGCAGGACATCTCCTCCTCCTCCTCCTCCTCCTCCTCCTCCTCCTCCTACTCCTACTCCTACTCCTACTCCTACTCCTCCTCTCCTCCTCCTCCTCCTCCTCCTCCTCCTCCTCCTCCTCCTCCTCCTCCTCCTCCTCCCTCCCCTCCTCCTCCTCCTCCTCCCTTCCTCCTCCTCCTCTCCGCCTCCTCCTCCTCCTCCCTCCTCCTACTACTCCTCCTCCTTCACCTCCTCCTCCTCCTCCTCCTCCTCCTCCTCCTCCTCCTCCTCCTCCTCCTCCTCCTCCTCACCATTCTCCCCAGGACCGCTCGCATTCGGTTGCTCATGGAGATCGGGCCCGCCAGAGAAGAGATACGAACACGTCCAGGGGAGTTCGGCGTCGAGGAACTGTAATCGGTTGGCCTCGGGGGTGCCTCCAGCGGGGACCGCGGCGGGTTCCGCGGGGGCCGCAGCAGAGACTCCCGCAGAAACCTCCAGAGGCCCCGGATTTGGGGATTCCCCAGGGACAGCGGGAGGCCCAGGCCCCAGGCTTGTGGTGGTTCGGGAAGACCCTCCCCCTACCCCCCCTCCCTCTGCAATTCTTCACTTCGCCACGCCACGCCATGCTGTGACATACTGCGCTTTGCGGTGCTCTTCTGCGCCATGCCATGCCGTGCTCTACAATGCATCGCGCACGTTTTCGGGGTCATTGCCCTGCTCGACATCCGACTGTGCGAGTAGAGAGGGGATCTACGCCATGGTAAGGGATGGGAGGGAGGGGTAGGATGTTAGATATGACGCGAGCGCACCTAGCTTGCCCTACCCCCCTCCCTCCCGTCCCTCCCCGCACCAGTCACGCAACCCGTGCCACCCACGTTCTTTTGGTCCGCGGCGTCTCGGGCCCCCGAACTGCGCCCAGTCTAGCGCAGGGCTGCTGTTGTGCCAATGCGGCGCAAGCGCGGCAGTGCGGCGGGGTGACAAAGAGGGCCAGGAGCGCCGCGGGCGGCTGGAGAGCCCGCAGAGCGAGAAGCGCACCGGTGCCGCTCGCACACCCGGGGAAAGCATCGCCTTGGCGCACGGAGGCCGAGCGCAGCTGCCCCTTCCAGCCAGACGTTGAGCCCGAGCCCGGCCCTGGCCAGGCCCAGGCCCAGGCCCGAGCCCGAGCACTAACCCGAGCCCGAGCCCCGGCGGATGGCGACACTGGACGGCCACCAGCGGCTTTCGGCGGCAGTCCGTTCTCGGAAGTTTTCGGACGTTCGCGTTCCCAGACCCCTTCGCGCTGTCAAGAAAAAGCGCGACAGGACGTTTTTCGTTGTTTTCGGCCTCCTGGGGCCCTTCCAGGGCTTCGGAAGATCTGGACGAACAATTAGTCCAGGGGAAAAAGTCCACACCTCTGGGTCGACGCTGTGGAAATCACGACGTCGGGGGTCTAGGGAGTTTTCTTGCT